ATGAGCTTTCACCACAAATAGCAACAGGCCTGCCATGAGTGACAGTCCAAATATAGGCCTGCCACAGCAGTCTTGCCGATTTTTACCACTCAAGTGTCACCAGGGGAGGTCACATGCTGTGCTCTGAATTCATTTACTGTGGGGGCTCAGACCCAAGACTCAGATGACAGGCTACACGTAAAGTGCTAGAGCTGTCATGGCCAGGTCAGGATGGAGATGCTGACATTCCTGGGTCATGTGCCTTCCACCTCAGTTTTCTCAAAGTGTTTTGAGCAAACAGCTTTGGAGGCAACACAAAGGCAACTTGTTTTCTCTCCCATCATCCTTTGCAGTGTGGGAACGGTTCCCCTCTCTCTGAATGAAGATCCAGCGGAGTCTGTGATTTCTGTTTCTCCTTAGGTGACACACTTTTAGGTCTCTCAAAGTCAGCAGTTGAACATCCAGTTCTATGGATTTTATTCAGAGGTTTTTCGAGCATCAGTGTCCTCTCTTCTGTAGCATGGTCCTCTTTAGCAGGATGCCTGTCTCAGGAGAAGGAGCAATGTCGGGCTTCCCTCCACACACGCCTCTGAGAGCAGTGGGCTGGCTTTAAGAGTGGTGGAGAAGGTGATTAGCTGGCTGCTTGAGAGCTGTCACAACAGGTGTTGACACTGGGCTGTGGGGCCTGTATCACTCTCAGATCTGAGTCCCTCATGTCTAGAGAAACCCATGATGAAGGCCCCTTCCTGTGGAAGTTCCCACAACCAGGCAGACAGACCTTCACCCACCAGAGTCTGTTTTATTCCTTCTTAAAGTTGTCTGCTATTCCACCATCAATTGTGACCTTGTAAATATGTTCTTTTCCTTTGTGTAGGGAGCTTTTTTTGGAAGGGGAACTAGGACACTCCTTGATGTCTCTCTCTTCTGTAGGCCTCATCTCTGCTCCTGGCAAACTCTAAGATGCAAGCAACCCCGTTGAGTCTTCCTACTTTCCACAGAAATAGCCCATCCTCTCATCTTGAGCTATCACCCCAACAGCAGCAAACATAGCTAGCTCTCTTAAGGGTCTTTTTGAAGACCCATCACTGTGTGCAGGACCATGGGTTGGAAGGGAGCATGGGATGTAGGGGCCATGAGGTAAAAGGAGAAACTGTCCTATTAGCCTCTATTTGAGATAGGAACCTTTTTTTTTTTAATACTCAGGTCTTAAGATTTTCTTCCAATCATTTGAGAGGCCCAAGAAGTGTTCTAAACAATTTCCTTTGAGTAATATTAGGTGATGAGAAAGGACAGGATGCAGGCAAAAGGATTCTTTTTTTTTTTTTTTTTTTTTTTTTGGTTTTTCGAGACAGGGTTTCTCTGAGTAGCCCTGGCTGTCCTGGAACTCACTCTGTAGACCAGGCTAGCCTCGAACTCTCGAACTCAGAAATCCGCCTGCCTCTGCCTCCCAAGTGCTGGGATTAAAGGCGTGCGCCACCACCGCCCGGCAAGCAAAAGGATTCTTTTTTTTTGGTTTTTCGAGACAGGGTTTCTCTGTGTAGTTCTGGCTGTTCTGGAACTTACTCTGTAGACCAGAAATCCACCTGTCTCTGACTCCCAAGTGCTGGTATTAAAGGCGTGCACTACCACCACCCGGCCGCAAAAGGATTCTTGTGACATGACTGATGATGTAAAGCTATATCTAGGTTCAAATCTTTCATATGCATAAGCATGTACTTGGTAGCCAGAGGGCAAGATGCTGAGCAAAGCTCCATGTGTTCAGAATCGCCACTGCAACATTACAGAAGCTTGCTGAGCTGCAGATAGAGTTTTGGACTTGGGAAAAAATTATTTCTTTTGAAAGTCTGTGTGTGCCGGGCGGTGGTGGCGCACACCTTTAATCCCAGCACTTGGGAGGCAGAGGCAGGCGGATTTCTGAGTTTGAGGCCAGCCTGGTCTACAGAGTGAGTTCCAGGACAGCCAGGGCTACACAGAGAAACCCTGTCTCGAAAAACCAAAAAAAAAAAAAAAAAAAAAAAGAAGAAAGAAAGAAAAGGAAAAGAAAGTCTGTGTGTGGTTATGAAAGTCTGTATGTGTTATTTGATCCTGGGGATTTCATTTTTATTGTTTGGGCTGTTTTAAAATACCATCACTTCAGTATATCCAAAAATATTAGAAAGAAAATGAAAAAAGAGTATCTGGACTTGCTACTTATAATCTGGGCACTTGGGAGACAGAGGCAGGATGACCACTGGAGTTCAAGGCCAGACAGGGCTATATAGAAAGATTCCATATCAAATAAAACAAAACGTTAAAATAAAACACATAAAGAAGGATGATGTACAAGATGCTCGGCACTTTGTACTGTTGTGGTTTTGGTTTTTGGTGTGGGACAGAGATGTAGGTGGGTGGGGAAGGTTGGACCGGGGTTGCCCTAAGGCCTGAAGTATATTCAGCATATGTTATACCACTGAGCTACCTTCAGCCCCATGTAGTATTGTTTAGACGGTGTACTGGCTGGTTTTGTGGGTCAACTTGACACAAGCTGGAGTTATCACAGAGAAAAGAGCTTCAGTTGAGGAAATGCTTCCTTGAGATCCAGCTGTAAGGCATTTTCTCAATTAGTGATCAAGGAGGGGAGGGCCCTTATGGGTGGTGCCATCCCTGAGCTGGTAGTCGTGGGTTCTTTAAGGAGGCAAACTGAGCAAGCCAGGGGAAGCAAGCCAGTAAGTAACATCCCTCCATGGCCTCTGCATCAGCTCCTCCTTCCTGACCTGCTTGAGTTCCAGTCCTGACTTCCTTTAGTGATCAACAGTAATGTGGAAGTGTAAGCTGAATAAACCCTTTCCTCCCCAACTTGCTTATTGGTCATGATGTTTTGTGTAGGAATAGAAACCCTGACTAAGACAGATGGGCAAAAACTAAAAAAAATTAATCTATTTTTATCAATATGTGATTCATTAGGTAATTGTGATATAGTCAACTCAGTATTTGCAAATATTAAAAACTATGATGTAGATGCTTATTGTTTTGGGAGACTGAAACCTGGAGTCCATGCTAAGCATGTCTTTATTACGTCCTTATCACCAAGTTGGCCTCATGATTACTTTTCCTTAATGTGGATATGCCCATGATACATTTATAAATGGAAAAAATATAAAATATCATTCCATCCTACATGTGTAAGTCTTCCTACATGTATGTGCATGCACACACATACACACACACACACACTGTATTAACAATAATATTCTTTAGTTGGAATAAACTAACAGGTTGCTTACAAAATGAAGAGATTTATTTTGAAGAATTGGCTCTTAAGATTATGGAGGCTTCTGCCGGGCGGTGGTGGTGCATGCCTTTAATCCCAGCACTTGGGAGGCAGAGGCAGGCGGATTTCTGAGTTCGAGGCCAGCCTGGTCTACAGAGTGAGTTCCAGGACAGCCAGGACCACACAGAGAAACCCTGTCTTGAAAAAAAAAAAAAAAAAAAAAAGATTATGGAGGCTTCTTCTGTGGTTAGCAAACTGAAGGCTAAAATGGCTGATGGTGTGGTGAAGGCCAACAGATCAAACACAAGGACAAAGATTTCAGTTTTAATCTGAAGGAAGGTCAAAATTTGGCAGTTTAAAGGATCAAATAGAGCCTGGAGAGAGACCCTCCCCCAGGAATAAACAAAAGGAGATATGCATATGCAGGCACTCTTGACCAAGGTGTGGTTTAACTCAAGGTCCTTCCCAACAGGCTGTGTCACCTCCAGGAATAATCACCTTCTCTCGAGGGCACAGCTTTTTATCATAGATAACCATCTCTTCTGGGGGCTTGTGTGACCTATTCCTCAAGGCTCACTGTGGCTTATATCTTACAGGTTTTTATGGGTCTGACTGTTGTTGTCAGAATCTAAGGTGACTGCAGGGTTAGGACCTGCATCTTTAGGGGCCATGTGAGGAAATGCTTTTTAGCAAAAGCACTTTCTATAGGCTTGCCATAATACCCTAGCAGCATGTTTTCAGAAGCGAGGCGACCCTGCTTAGCCTTACTGTATATGTATTGTGGAGGAGTTCCCTCTCTCGGTCTCAATTTCTCACTATCAGGATGACGCTGGGATAGACTGTATTAAGTATGTTGAGTTGCCAGCCAGGATACTTTAAAAGCAGAAATATTTAGGCATTTCCCCTCTTCCCATCTTCTCAATATACCAACAACACAACAGACACTCAGTAAGTTTACTATACTGGCAAAAATAAATGTGTCTGCAACCTAGTTATTGACACCCTGAAGCCCTCAATAAGTAAATATTGAGTTCAAATAAAAGTTTGATCTTACCAGTACTTAATAGGATACTTAATAGGATCCTGTTGAGGGAAATTCTTTTTTTTGTTGTTGTTGTTGTTGTTTTTTTTTGAGACAGGGTTCTCTCCCTCCCTCCCCCCCTCCCTCCCTCCCCCCCCCCCCCCCTCCCTCTCTCTCTCTCCCTTTGTTTTTTTTCGAGACAGGGTTTCTCTGTGTAGTCCTGGCTGTCCTGGAACTCACCAGGCTGGCCTCAGAAATCCGCCTGCCTCTGCCTCCCAAGTGCTGGGATTAAAGGCGTGCGCCACCACCGCCCGGCGGAAATTCTTATTTTAATGTTGACAATTAAGATAGGGGCTGGGGAGATAGCTCAGTTCATTAGCTAAGAATTATTACTTTTAGAGACTTAACAGCCCCATAACATATCCAGTTCTAGAGGCTATGACGCCCTCTTCTGGCACCTGTACTAAGGCTCAATGTCGTCCTGCCCACATATACCTGGGCTTAAAAATAAAACCTTTGCCGGGCATGGCGGTCGTAAGCCTTTAATGCCAGCACTCAGGAGAAGCAGGGTGATCTCTTAAGAGTTCAAGGCTAGCATGGTTTACTTAGTGAGTTCAAGGTTCACCGGTGTTGTAAAAGTGAGACCTTGTCCCGCCTCTCCAAAAAGACTTTTCATTGGCTCTCACTTAACCAACCCCGGACAGCCTCCCGCATACAGCCTATGAGAATGAGGGGGCGGGAGCTTCTGCGCCTCTGACTGACAGTAGCGTCTTCCGAAAAATGTCGTGCCCTGGCGCAGTCTAAGGGTGTACCGCTGCCATGGACAGCGAGCAGTCGGACAGCCTGGAAGGCTGGGTGCCGCTGCGCGAAGACCTCTTCCCAGAGCCCGAGCGCCATCAGCTGCGTTTCCTGGTGGCCTGGAACGCCGCAAAGGGCCAGTTCGCCGTCACCTGTCACGACCGCACGGCGCAGCGGCGGCGGCGCGGGCGGCAGGAGGCCGGCGACCAGGGGTACAGCTGGGCCGGGGTGCTGTCGGCCGCCGGGTTCCGCGGCGCGCACCGGCAGCTGGCGGCGCTGTGGCCCGCCCTGGAGCCCTGCTTCCCGCCGCTGCCGCCCGAGCTGGACGGGGCGAGCGGAGCGGGCTGGGGGGTGGGGCGCTGGCTGTGGGCGCTCCTGTGGCCGGCGCCTGCGGACCTCGGCGACGCGGGGCTCCAGGAGCTGTGCCGACAGCTGGAGCGCTACCTGGTCCTGGCTGCCGACGGCTGCGGCGGCGCCATCGTGCGCGACGTGCTCTTCCCGGTCCCGAGTGACTCGGCAGACTGCGAGGGCCTGAACGAGTTCCGCGAGAGGATGATGCGCGAGCGCCTGAGCCGAACAGCCACCCGGCTGCAGCAGGTATGCAGCGCTGGGCCTGGCCGAGGGCGGGTCCGCGGGACACTCGTGACGCGCTCCGGGCGTCGCTGGTGCACTTGCGCCCCAGCTGGCTGAGAGTGGGGACCTTGAAGTTGAAACACGGTAGTGGTGTGTGTGTTCGCGCGCGCGCGTGTGTGTGTTAGGATTATCATCAGGGTGTGTGTGTGTGCGCGCGCGCGTGTGTTAGGATTATCATCAGGGTGAGTCTCCGCGTCGCCCGGCTCTTTTGATTTTTGTTTGATTGTTTTTTGAAACAGGGACTCAGTTGTCCAGGCTGGCTTTGAACTCAGGACAGTTCTCTGCCTCAGCCTCTCCAATCCTAGGATTAGGAAAAGTTTACTTGCAGTTCTGAGCCAGGCTCCCCTCTTCACCTTTTCCCTGTTCTGAGCAGAGCAGGATGTTGTAATAGGAAAGGCCAGAAATATTGAAAGTAAAACTGAAAACAAGGCGTATCCGTAGGAAATAAAAACATAAGCTAGGTGGAAGCAATTTTGGTGTTCTCTGGAGGGAGGAGGGATGGCTAAAAATGCTTCCAAGGATGAATGACATTTAAAAGATAGTTTTAATATTCTTCAAGCAATAAAGGTTTTATTATTTTCTTCAAGCAAATGGAAAACCCTTGGGAAGTGAGGCTTTATTCATCAGCTTTTAATGGCAACAACAGGAAGGCTCTTTAAGAGATAGTTTGAGATACACAGATTCATTATTTGTGTGGTAAACTTAACAGACCCTAAAGAGGGGGGACTTTTCATTTCACTCAAAGATTTAGGGAGAATGTATGTCTTACCCTGCAACAATTTCCTGAAGAGAGACAAGTTTCAGAGCTTCAATCCACATTCTGGACACTCCTTTGGGTGTTTCCTGTTTTACATTATTGAGCCACTGTTCTAGTTTGTTCTCTGTCGTTGTGATAAGCACCCTGACCAAAAGCAGCTCGGGGCAGAAAGGGCTTGTTTGGCTTACAGGTTACATTCCATCATCAGGGGAAGGTAGAATAGGTTCTGGAGCACAGATAATGGTTGAAGGCTGATTACTGACTTGTGTACCTACCTTTCTTAGCCCAGGCCCACCTACCCCCAGGTATCCAACTACCCACATTTGCTGGACACTCTTCTATCATTTAGCAAGCAAGAAAAGGCTAATCTAATGGAGGCAGTTGCTCTCTTGTGTCAAGTAAACAACTGAAGCTAACTATGCGTCATTATTAGCAGAGATTTTGCTATGTTTCTTTTGAAGAAGGGGAGGTATAAGAAGAATTCAGCCATATAGCAAAATCTTGATTGCTGTATATTAAGATAAATCTAGAATGAGTCTTTTAAAATTAAAATGGCTCTATAGAAGGATTGTGTTTGTGGGATCTTTGTTTTGAGACAGAGTCTCATATGCCCAGGCTGTCCTGGGACTCACCATGTAGCTCAGGATACCCTCTTACTATGATGACTCTCCTGCTTCTGCCTCTGAAGTTTTGTCAGCAGACCTTGCTCACTCAGACCTTGCTGGGATCACTTTATAAACTCACACCTACTTCTCATGGTGTTGAATTCACTTTATAATGTGCGGAAACTACAGGAGATTTTTCAGGCCAGCCAGCGTTTGGTCCTTAGCCTGATCATTTATTTCTATCGGACTTAGCTCTTTAACAAGTACTAGAGGTTGGACCTGAGTGTGAGGCAAGCACTGTAGCAATGAGTCACCTCCCTCACCTCCGTCTGTTTTCAGGCAGCTTCTGACTAAGTTGCCCAGTCTGCCCTTGAACTCCAGCCCAGGCAGGCTTAGTCTCACCCTTCACTCCTTTCCTCCTGCAATCCAGCCTCACAGATCTTGTTCTGTTTCCTGATGTGCCCACCATGCTTTTCAGAAGCTTTCTGTTCCAGGATTGAACTAGTTTCAGCTTCCCGGAGTAGTTGTAGTGAAGGCCAGAGCCACTTCCTGCCTTATCTTCCCAGAGTAGCTGAATTACAGGTCCGTTCCACCAGACCCAGCACACAGTTGGTTCCTGACACTTCATTTCTTTCTTTCTTTTTTTGTTTGTTTGTTGTTTTTTTGGTTTTTCGAGACAGGGTTTCTCTGTATGGCCCTGGCTGTCCTGGAACTCGCTCTGTAGACCAGGCTGGCCTCGAACTCAGAAATCCGCCTGTCTCTGCCTCCCAAGTGCTGGGATTAGACACTTCATTTCATATATTCTTAACCTCTCCCCCCAGTTCTTAACATCTGTATACTGGAAAAGTTACATTCTCCTCAGGTTCAAGTTCACACCCTGCTAGTACATTCTAGCTTAGCTCATGCTATTGAGCTGTTCATGTGCGGAATTCACCTGGCCATCTGGGGCTTACAAATGGAGGGGTAGAAGTAAGTAATAAGTATATCGTGTCCATGGAAGTGTAGTCTTTGTTTTGAGGAGGACCTTGGCTTTGTAGCTCAGGCTGACCTGGAACTATTTAGCCCAGGCTAGCCTTGGACTCACAGTCAAGCCCTTGCTTTAACCTCCTAAGTGTTGGCATTATAGGCTTGAGCCATCATGGTAATTATGATACTATTATAATTATTACCCTCACATTATTAAATAGTCAAACAGTGTTGAATGACTGTGAGAATAGTATTCCACGGACCGGCCATCTCATTCAACCACTGTTGTGTTATTGGGTCTTTCGTTGGAGAACATTTTCATGTTCATGAAGTTTAAAATTACTGTTTTAAAATTGATATTTTAAACTTAATATTGGGTTTCTTTTATTTATTTACTTTTGGTATGATTTTATAAATGTCCAGATTCAAGCTGTATTTACATTTTATCCTCTAGATTCTTCAAGATCACAGAAAAGCCAATACCATGGTAGCATTAATGAAAGTTTATCAAGAGGAAGATGAAGTCTATCAGGAGTTAGTTACCACGGCAACCACGTTCTTCCAGTATTTACTACAGCCATTTAGAGACATGCGAGAAGTTGCCACCTCATGTAAGCTTGGTATTTTGGTATGTTTCTGGTATTTTTATCTTACTATCTTCTGTGTATTGTTATTTTAGCCATATATAAGGTTCTTTATATTTAGATGAGATTATATATATACATATATATACATACATATATATTATATGTAATTTTTATTTATTTACTAGTCATTTAGAGACAGGGTTTCATGTAACCTCTGCTGGCCTCAAATTTACAATGTAGCTAAGGCTAGCCTTGAATTTTTGATCCTCTTGCCTCCATCTTCCAAGTGTTGGGATTACAGGCAGTGTTCATCGGTGGTAGAGCTTGTGCCCAGTGTGCTCAAGGCCCTGCACTTTGTCTCAGTATTGCTAAAGCCACAAACAACAACAAAAGCCAGGCCTAGTGGCACAGGTCTGTAAGTGTACCCACGCAGGAGGTAGGCCCAAGGCCTGCCTGGGCAACAGAGAATCAAGACCCAGTTCCAAAATGAATCATGAGGAAGGGCATAGGGCTGTGGCTCCGGGGTAGACAGCTTGCTGCGTGTGCACATCTTGTCCTCCAAGGAGCGGACAGGGACTAAACGTGAAGATATTCTTTGCTCATTTTCTCAGCCCCTTAGAACACTGCAGGTTTGGAGGCCTTAGCGCTGTTCCTGATGACAGGCTGGGTTTGATGTGATGTGAATTTCCTTTCGCTGATTTCCCACCTGTAAGAACACATGTAGATTTCTTAGAACCGGGAGGCAAATTTAAATAGCAGGGCCTTGGATTGTAATTCAGTACACTGTAGTAATTGCTGTTATTCTCATTCCATTAGGGGAGTGGTTCTCAACCTTTAACGCAGTTCCTCCTGTTGTGGTGACCGCCAACCATAAAATTTTTTTTTTTTTTTTTTTTTTTGGTTTTTTTGAGACAGGGTTTCTCTGTGTAGTTCTGGCTGTTCTGGAACTCACTCTGTAGACCAGGCTGGCCTCGAACTCAGAAATCCGCCTGTCTCTGCCTCCCAAGTGCTGGGATTAAAGGCGTGCGCCACCACCGCCCAAATTTTTTTTTTTTTAAAGATTTATTTATTTTATGTATATGAGTACACTGTCACTGTCTTCAGACACACCCAAAGAGTGCATTGGATCTCCTTACAGATGGTTGTGAGCCACCATGTGGTTGCTGGGAATTGAACTCAGGACCTCTGGAAGAGCAGTCAGTGCTCTTAACCACTGAGCCATCTCTCCAGCCCTCAAGTTATCTTTTTTTTTTTTTTGGTTTTCGAGACAGGGTTTCTCTGTGGTTCTGGCTGTCCTGTAACTCACTCTGTAGACCAGGCTGGCCTCGAACTCAGAAATCCGCCTGCCTCTGCCTCCCAAGTGCTGGGATTAAAGGCATGCGCCACCACCGCCCGACTCATAAAATTCTTTTTGTTGCTACAAAATTACAAAACTGTAATTTTGCTACTATTATGAATCATAACATAAATATCTGTGTTTTCTGAAGGTCTTAGGTAACCCCTGTGAAAGAAAGAGTTGCTTGATCCCCAAAGGGGTCATAACCTACAGGTTGAGAACCACTGTATTAGGATAACCCTATTTAGAAAAGGCATCAATATTGTCTCGCAATCAAACAGCTAGAATCAGGAGACAGTAGGGAGATGCTTTGCTTTCCTCCGGGCACTGGCTGTCTCTCCACAGGCACTTTCGTGACCCCAGCCCATTGACATCTCAGACAATGAGATGGTTATACAGTGTGTGTAGTGGTGACTGCTTCCCCACTTAGCCCTCAGACTGCACTCCTTTTTCCTGGCAGATGACCTCTTCTTGAGGATAGACTGCCTTTGTTTACCCATTCACTCTTGGTGGACACTTGGCTTGTTTACACTTTTTAGATATTATGAATAGTGTTGCCATCAACGTATGTGTATGCTTACCTGTGGCTACCTTTCTTTTTTTTTTTTTTTGAGACAGGGTGTCTATGTAGCCCTGGCTGTCCTGGAACTCACTCTGTAGACCAGACTGGCCTTGAACCCAGAAATCCACTTGCCTCTGCCTCCCAAGTGCTGGGATTAAAGGCGTGCACCACCACCGCCTGGACTCTTTTTCTTTTTTGAGTCGGGATCTCAGCTTGCTCACTATGTAGCACAGGATGACCTTCAACTTGGCAGCCTTTGTGCCTTAGTTTCTTGAGTATGGGGTTACAGCCACAGGACTTACTTTCATTTCTCTTGTGTATATACTAGGAAGTGGACCTGCTGGGTCACGTGATAATATTTAGCTTTTGGTTTTTTTAAAAAGCTTAACCTTTGAAGGCTGTCAGACTGTTGCCCAAATCAAGCACACTGTGTTAATGCACCCAAGTGTAGGCTCCCATTTGTATCAGCACCAACTCTTGGTTTGTTTTGTTGTGTTTGAGATCAGATATTGCCATACAGCCCACAGTAGCCTTGATTCATGGCAATTCTCCTGCCCCTCAGCCTTCCAAATGGTGAGGTTACCATGTGTCACCATGCCTACCTTTAATACTTGTTATATCTGTCTTTATTCTAGGGTAGGAAGTGGTGTCTTGTAGCTTTGACTTGTATTTGTGTAACAGGAACCCAGCTATGCCATGTTCCTTCCTTTGTGGAAGGAAACTGAGCTTTGGATGCACAGGAGTCCTGAGTTCAGACTGTTATAATAGTGCACTGCAGACTGGGCCATTTATAAACAACAAGACTTCTCCCTTATACTTCCGGTGGCTCCAAAGTTGAAGATCAAGGTGCTGGCAGACCTGGTATCTGATGGGAATTTGTTTGCTAGTGTTTAGCTGGCTGTCCTGATGTGTCCTTACATGGTAAAGAGCAGAGAGACCTTATACCTCTTCTTATTTATAAGGGTATCAGTCCTAACCATAGGGCTGTATCCTCATGGCTTAATACCATCACATGGGAGATTTAGGCTTCCATATATAAATTTCAGGGCCCACAAACGGTTTATAGGTATGAGTGGCACCACCCTGAATACATAAATGTGAGTATCTTTTAGGTGACCATGTTACATGCATTTAAATATTTAAATATTAATATTTAAATATTAAGTATTTAAGATTCCTAAAGAAACTACAGCAAAAGCAACACTGAACAACAGATATCTTCATCTGCACAACTGTGTATTATTACCTAACAGCACCCTGGAACAGCTGTAGTAATGTAAAGTCTGTCAGTGTTGTTTTCTCTCTGTACCCAGAGTACACCCTAGTCTCCAGTGGTGCCCAAAACGGAGCCATTGATGTTCAGTCAGGAATCAACTAAGCAGCAGTAAAAAGAGTGGTTACTACAGTTCACACAGCCACTTCAAAATTTCCTAATGGCATTACATCATTTTTTTTTTGTAGAAGTCCCTGGATGAGGATGAGCTGGGTCCTAAAAGGGTGGCTGCCCTACAGAAGGAAGCCAGTGAATGGAACAAACAGGCTGAAGAAGCTGTGGTCTCTATCCAAGACCTCACTGTGGATTATTTTAAGGAGACAGTAACAGCATTAACAGGTGAAACTAAGAACCACTAAGATAAATGTAATTCTTATTTTATTAAAACATTTTTGCGTGCATCTTCAGTACCGGGTTGCATATTTGGTGTGGGTGCTGGGAATTCAGTGGAAGGATAAACATGATGAATTCCCAGCCTGGTGAGCACACAGAAGTCTGATACGTTCGTTCAGCACATCATAAGTGATAGGGGCAAGATATAGTACTGAATAAGAAAAGCAAGGCTCTGAAAGCAATGGGATCTGCCTGGGGTGCTCATGAGAGGCCTCCTGACTGAATAGTACATGTTGTGCAGGGGCATTTACAAGGCTTGACAAATAGAACTTCAAGCAAGCCCGTGGGCTGGGTCCTGGAGAGCATGGAGAACTTTTTATAAGAAGGAAGCTGGCCAGCCAGGCAGGGTCACACTAGGTGAGGCTTTTGCATTGTCCATAATAACCCCAAATAGGAAATCTTATGTTGCTGGGCAGTGGTGGCTCACGACTTTAATCTCAGCACTTGGGAGACAGAGGCAGGCGGATTTCTGAGTTCTGGGCCAGCCTGGTCTACACAGAGAAAAACCTGTCTCAGGGGAAAAAAAAAAAGGAAATCTTATATCTGTCAATCTGCGTGTAGCTTGGGTATCATTGGCTTAATAGCGAATATCTACATATAAGAAATTCATATAAAAAAATTCATATTATATTTGTCTTTCGGGTCTGGGATAACACACTTAGGATGATTTTTTTTCTAGTTCTATTCATTTGCGTATGAATTTCATGATGTCATTTTTTAAACAGCTGAGTAATACTCCAGTGTGTAAATGTACCACATTCTCTTCATCCATTCTCTGTTGAGGGACATCTAAGTTACTTATATAATTCCTGGATACTTTGGATAGAGCAGCAATGAACAAGTTTGAGAAAATGTCTCTGTAGAAGGAGAAAGTGTCCTTTGGGTCTATATAAATAACCAAGTCTGGTATAGCTGAATCTTTTTTTTGTTTTTTTCCAGACAGGGTTTCTCCATGTAGCCCTGGCTGTCCTGGAACTCACTCTGTAGACCAGGCTGGCCTTGAACTCAGAAATCCACCTGCCTCTGCCTCCCAAGTACTGGGATTAAAGGCATGCGCCACCACCACCCAGCCTCAGTTGTCTTTTTAAAAAAAGATTTATTTATGTATATGAGTACACTGTCACTGTCTTCAGACACACCAGAAGGGCATCAGATCCCATTACAGATGGTTGTGAGCCACCATATGGTTCCTGGGAATTGAACTCAGGACCTCTGGAAGAGAACACCTCTGGTGTTCTTAACTGCCGAGCCATCTCTCCAGCCCTCTTTCAGTTGTCTTATTGTGAGAGTTGAGACAGACTTAACCTTGAATAGGTATGGAAAGAATGGGCAATTGTGTCTTGTTCCTGATTTTAGGGGAATTGCTTTGAGTCTTTCTCTTTAAGTTGATGTTGGCTATGGGCTCATTATAAACTCTCTTTATTTTGTTGAGATCTGACCCTGTATCCAGGAACTTTTATCTTTCCAGGACTATTATCATGATGGGGTGTTGGACTTTGTCAAAGGCCTTTGTAACATCTAATGAGATAGCCATGTGGAATCTATCTTTCAGTTTGTTTATATAGAACATTACATTTATAGAATTATATATGTTGAACTATGCCTGTATCTCTGGGATGAAGCCAACTTGATCATGGTAGATGATCTTTTTGGTATCTTCTTGACTTGGTTTGGAAGTATTTTATTGAAATTTTGCATCTATGTTCATAAGGGAAAATGATCTGTAATTCTGGCTTTGTTGTATTTTTACATGATTTGGGTATCAGAGTAACTGGCTTCTTAAAACAAACTGGGCAGTTTCCTCTTCTGTTTATATTTTGTTTAATAATTTGAGACTTGCCATTAACCCTCTTTTGAGAGTCTGATAGAATTTTGTACTAAAACCATCTAACCCTGGGAATATTTTAGTTTGTTTGAGAGACTTTTAATTACTGCTTCTATTTCATTAATAGTTATAGACCTATTTAGATTGAATATTTAATCTAGATTTTACTTTGGTAAGTGGTATGTATTGAGAAAATTAATAATTAAAAAAATTTTCTAGTTTGGAGTACAAATTTTTAAGGTATGTCCCTATGATTTTATGTATTTCCTCAGTATATGTTGTCATTTCCCCCTTTTCATTTCTAATTTTGTTAATTTGGATATTCTGTCTCCACTTTTTAATTAAAGGTTTGTCAATCTTACTGGTTTTCTCAAAGAATCAACTCTTTGTTTCATTGAGTCTTTGTAGGTTTTTGTTTATTTGTTTCTATTTTATTGATTTCAGCCCTGAGTTTTACAATTTTTTGCTGTCTACTACTTTTGGATGTCATTTCTTCTTTTTCTAGAGTTTTCAAGTATGCTGTTAACTTACTCGTATGAGATCTTTCTAAGTTTGTTTGTTTGTTTGTTTGTTTGTTTGTTTTTGGTTTTCGAGACAGTGTTTCTCTGTGTAGCCCTGGCTGTCCTGGAACTCACTCTGTAGAGCAGGCTGGCCTCCAACTCAGAAATCCACCTGCCTCTGCCTCCCAAGTGCTGGGATTAAAGGCGTGCGCCACCACTGCCCGGCTGGACTCTTAATTTCTTATCTTCTGTCTTGACTCATTTTTCATTCAGTAGTGAGTTGTTGAGTTTCCATGAGTTTGTAAGCTTTCTGTTGTTTCTGTTGTTGAGATCCAGCTTTAATCTGTGGTGGTCAGATAGAATATGGTATTATTTCAGTTTTCTTGGGTCTCTTGAGGCTTGTTTTGGGTCCAAGTATTGGGTTATTTTTGGAAAAAGTTGTACGAGGTGCTGGGAAGAAGGTATATTCTTTTGTGTTTAGGTGGAATGTTCTGTACATGTCTGTTGGGTCCATTTGGTTGTTGATGTCAGTTAGCTCCCTCAGTTTTCTGTTGAGTTGTTGTCTAGATGACCTGTCTGTCAGGGAGACTGGAGTAGTGAAGTTTCCCACTATCAGTGAGTGAAGTTCAGTATGCAATTTAAGTTGTAGTGGTAGAGGGTTTTTTGTTTAGTTTGTTTTGTTTTCTTTTTTACACAAACATGGGTGATCTTGTGTTCAGTGCATAGATGTTAAGAATTACAATGTCACTGGGTATGTGCACTTGGGAGGTAGATGCAGGTGATCTCAGAGTTTGAGGCCACCTGGTCTACAGAGCAAGTTACAGATTTCTCCCAGTTTGGGATTTCTTTATTGATTTTGTTTCTACTTTCCAGTCCTGAACTTTATTATTTTTTTCTACTCTTTGTCTTTTCATATGTTTCTTTAAGGGGTCTATTCATTTCCTCTCTAAGCCAATAAAGGTTATTTTAAAGTCATTTTTACTGGGGGCCTATTGTGTTAGGGTTGCTGGCCTTTAATAGAGACATTATTTATTGTCCTGGTTGTTGTATTTTTTATGCTGGTGTCTAGGCATTTGGGCTGGGGATGATTGTAATTCTAGGGTCTGATATCTGGTCTTTGTTGTTGAGTGTTTGGTTCCTTGATTTCTTTGCCCTCTCTAGTTCTTAGAGTTTGGTGGCTGTGAGTTGCTGGGTAGGAATTTCTTCTGTGGTCCTGAGAGGTGTGGCCACTGTGGGTTCCAGGTGTTTCTAGGTATTGGGAGCTGGCACTTAGGAATAGGAGTGGGCTAGGAGGGGATGTCAGAGGGCTCACTAGATAGAGGAAAGCCCAGTGCCCGCTGTAACAGGTGGTCTGCTACAGAGCTGGAGATGAAACTGGGGGACTGGACTTGGAGGAGCTGAGGAGAAGGTGAAGATCAGCAGTGGGTCTGCTTGCTTCTCTGGCTGGGATGGCCTGTTGGTCCCCAGGGAGTGCCTGTTGGAGTTGGGGACTGGGATAAAACAGGGAGGGGGGGTTTGAGAGGAAGATGTGTATGATTCCCTGGAGGGGGAGGGAAGGGAGAGTCAGCAGGTGGTCTGCTGCAGAGCTTAGGGATAAGGTTAGGAGGTTGGCTGTAGAGAGGTGAAGATCTAGGTAGACTACCTGTTTCCCTGGCTGCAGTGATCTGTCTGCAGGCTCCCAGTGAGCTGGGGGCTGCTTCCCTGGCTGTCAACTGCTTGCTTCCACAATGGCTTGCTTATACAACTGGAAATCACATATGTTACAGAGGCATCATCCACAATGGGCTAGGCCTACTACATCAATAACAGTAAAAAAAAAAAAATGCCCTACAGACATGCCCACAGGACAGGCTGATGGAATCAATTGCTCAGTTAATGTTCCTCTTCCCAGGTGATTCTGGTTTGCATCAAGTTGCAACACTAACCAGCACACCGGCTTGAGATGAGACTGAAAGTGGAGTAATGGTCTTCATGTTAGTCAGACTGTTCACAGGACCTGTCTAGCCACAGAAATTACCTGGACCAAGATATGAAAGCAGGGGTCTCAGTGACGTGTGTCATGAGCTGGTATTGTCCTGCGGGTGAATTGAATACCTGAAGGTTTCTATCAGTGACCATGTGTTCCTTTTTTTTTTTTTTCATAATTGTAGTGATACGAGGCAACAAAGAATTCAGATTCATTAATGAGTTGTACTTTTGTTTTTCTTTATTAATTATAACTCAGGAATGCAGAAACAAATGGAGCAGGATCGGAAGAGATTTGGCCAGGCTGCCTGGGCCACAGCCATGCCCAGGCTAGAAAACCTCAAGCTCATGTTAGCTCGGGAGACTCTGCAGCTTATGAGAGCCAAAGAGCTGTGTCTAAAACACAGACAAGCTGAAGTCCGGAGAAAGGTAAGACAAAAGTAAATATACTTTTTCTCTAAAACCATGTTTTCATTTAGATTGAAGATTCAGCCTGGGCGTTGGTAATGAGCTCTCTGTTTTTCTCAGCACACATTTCAGTAGACAGGCTACTTACTAATGAGGGTGGGCCAGGAAGCGTCCCTTCCTGGTTCTCTAACTCCAAGTTTAGGATTGAAGTGGGGACTCACTTTAAATATCAGTCCAGCACTATGTTCAGTATATACTCATGTACATACACATGCAAATGCTTGTGCATACGTGTGCATGCATTGTGACAGTGTTCTGTAGCCAACTTCTTCATGCAGGAGCTAAGCGTGTTCTCCACCACTGAGGCCCAGCCCAGCATGGCTAAGCAAGCATGTGCTTCATCATATCGTAACTAAATGTCTCTTCTCACAGGATCACAGTCAGGCAGATAGTTCCTATAATCTTGGGACTTTAAAGCAGAGTCTTGTCAGTAGCTGTCTTAGATCTGGCTGCTTGTGAGAAGATACCATAGTTAGAGTGACTACAAAGACATTTCACTGTTGTCTCTGGTGAGGGCTCTGTCTGTGGCCACTCGTTCTTGCTGTGTGCTCACAAGGCCTGTCCTGTGTCCATGGAGAGAGGAAGCACACTAAGAACCTTCACCACAAGGCCCCACCCTCTCAACCTCATCAAACACAGTCACCTTCAAAGGCTCTCTCCAGCACGGTCACATCGGGGTAACACCTTCCACGGTCTCTTTGCCGTTATGTTTACAGACCATGAACGAGTTGATTTGTTTTAAGAGTAAGGTGAAGTATATGTAGAAAAACACTGAACGAGTTCAAGTTTGTCTCTCGAGATGTGTTTCTGCCTGTCTCCTTTCTTACAGTTAGCACCATGGAAGAGCAGGAGCCAACCAGACTGAGTGCTTTGCAGTTTTCTCTCACTTTGCTAATCAATCTATTTCTTCTTCCTCCATACAAACCAGGTGGAAGATCTTCCAGACCAAGAAAAGAGTTTGGATGTTGTGGATGAGCTGGAAATACATTGTTACAAGATTCAGCTGGAGTTATACGACATTAAGCTCGAGATACTGAGGAATGAGGAAATGATTCTTGTTACACGCTTGGACTCTGTGAAGAGACTTATAACAGGTAACGTTAATGTTTATATTAGAGGCAGATGAGACATGTTTGAGGAAAAACAGACCAATTACCAGTTTCTTATTATAAATGACCAGTTATATCTACTGAATGTTTTCCGTTTCTCTTCATTATTTTTGTTATTCAACAGTATAGTCACATATACAAGAGACAAAGAAAGAAATCTTTATGCCCATTACATAGAGGCATTTAGTGAAAGCAATTTGCTGATAACTGTGGGGCTTTTCAAATGCGCTACATATGTAAAAATGAGTATCAGTTTTTAAAACCAAAACCATGTACTCAAGTAGCCTTATTTTTACTCAATATACAATAAACTCATTTAAGTAATAAGAATAAGAATCACAGAATTTTAATGGCTGCATAGTATTCCATTTTTTTCAGACATGCTGTGATTTCTAGTTTCTTTCTGTCTTGAACATCAGTGCAGCAAAAAATTTTCTTTGCATGTGTCCTTGTGTGTAGCACAGATTGCTGGTAATTTATGAGATACATTTCTAAAGACGGAATGGTTGGGTTAAGGGTAATGCTTTTTTTTTTAACATTTTAATATATATCTGCTAAAATGGCACTAGACAGTCATTTGTAATACTTTCCTCTTCCTCTGTTGTTTCCAAGGCCTGGTTTATAAAAACCGCTAGAGAGGTTACACAAAAGGAAACTGTAGCAGCTGTACCATCCGGTTGTAGCTGGCCTCATACCCACTGCAGTCCTTCCTCAGGCCTGCTGAGGGCTAGGGTCACAGATGTACACCACCAAACCTCATATCAGTTTCTTTATTGGTATTTTAATGTTGTTGTTGTTTTAAGACAGCATTTCTCAGTGTAGCCCTGATTGTCCTGGAGCTAGGTCTGCAGACCAGGCTGGCTTCAAACTCACAGAGATTCACCAGCCTGTATCCCAAGTAATGGGATTAAAGGCGTATACTACTACTGCCTGGCTCTATTTTTATGTTTTATAATGCATCTTTATACAGGCATATTATTGTGCGTTGCTCATATTCGCCACCCCCGTTACCCTTCCTTGTCCTTACCCACCTTACCTCACCTTTCTCTTCCAATAGTTCTCCTTCTGCCATGACTACACACACACACACACACACAGACACATTCATGCACAGACACGCACGCATAATGTTATTGATTCTTTTGGGGCTTTGTTTTTGGAGACATGCTCTGATGTAACTGGCCCAGCCTGGCTCAGGATTGCTGCGTAGTCAGAGGTGGCCTTCAATCCCCAATCTGTCTGCCTTCACTTTCCAAGTGCTGGGATTATAGGTGTGCATCGTTGGGGTTCAGGAGTCGCCACACAGACCTTACAAACACTGATCTCAGTTCCACAAGAATAGTTTTATTGAACACATACACCAAGACTGAATGTTCAGGACCACAAAAAGGACTCAGGTGCCTAATTGTGGTGCCAATCTGTCCTCAGGGCAGGCTTATAAAGGAAAAAATCTACAAAACCCATGAGCTCATATGCAGGTGCAGGAAGTGTTGCCCAGTGGTCAGCCCTGACTCAAGCCATTTTAGACATGACAGTTTATAGTGACCTTGAACTTGATGGGTAAAGCTTTGTGGAATTCTTAAGATTAACAAACTTCATACAGAACAACATAACAGGGGATGTGGTCAGCATGACCCTGCTCTGAATCAAGCTATTTTTCTGTGTCAATGACTGGCAGGCATTTTATAGCAACAGTATGAAGTAGCTGACAGGCATGGAACAAAATGGCTACAGCTATGTTGGTGGAGGGGACAGACCTCAATATGCACCACCACACCTGCTATATTGTATCGAGATTCTGCAGCTAAGGAAGGAAAGTCATGCCTTATGTAGCTTCTATTTTTAGAATATTTTCTACATTAAAGATTTTATTCAATTGTCAGTCATACTTATGGTAAAATTCAAACTTTTCTCTTCAAATTGGTCTCAATCACCGATTGAAAAAAATGTCTCCTGCTGCTTCTCAGACTCAGAGCCAGCACCAGTGGTGTGGGCTGAGGATTGTCTTGCACACATTTGTGAGGCCTCCTGGTATAGGCTCCATATTGCTCCACACGTGTAATGCCATGCCAGCCCCGACCTCCTGTTACCTGTTCTCCACGCTCTCTGACTTTCTCACTTCTTTATTCTTCCAGATGAATTTTAGAATCACTTGGGCAACTTTTAAACAAAAACTCCCTGGAATTTTGATTGGGATTATGTAATTAGAGATTACTGGGGGACAATTGTCGTCTTGCAATTTTGGGCCTCCTCCTCACCCAAGATCATGGTAGGTCACCCCATCCCTTCAGTCTCTTTCCCAGGCCCCTTCCAGCTTGTCACTCTCACGCAGGGCCTTGGCGCTTGGATTAATCCTGGTATCCGAAGCCTTTGCAGCTCTTTTCAGTTGTGAACACTTTATACATCTAGGAGAAACTTTTTATTTTTAAAAGTTAATCTGGAAGCATGTTTTCCTTTGAGACTCAGGTTTGGGAAAGAGAAAACTTCTTATTCTGTGTGCTTCAGGGTTTGGGATTGTTACAAGCATGTGTTTTTAAAAGTCAATATGTAATCAAGAGTAAAGATTGGCGAGAGTTTGTGCTGTGGTGGGGCATTCAGGCAGGAGGTGTACAGAGCCCTGGGCATTCATTTCATTTGCTAAGGTAGAGGAGAGCATGTGCAAGCTCGCTCTCATGCTCGCTCTCATGCTCTCTCTCTCTCTCTCTCTCTCTCTCTCACACACACACACACACACACACACACACACACACACACACGCACACCATGAAATCTGAAATAACAGAACGCTGGGACATTCTGAGAATGTTTGAGCCAGTGAATACTATGTGGCCATTAAAATGCTGTTTCTAGCACATGGATCAGGTTTTGAGAGAAACGTTGTTGCTTTGTGCAGCTATGTAATAAATGTGTATGTGATGTTAATATTGGTTTCCCTTACCTGATGTAATTATAGCAGCCTTTCTTTAAGACAGTTTTTGAGTTATTTCTTATAGTAAAACATGTCTAAGGAAATCATGGATCTTTTTAGAGAGACAGGCTGAAGTGGTTTACTACGACCCATGTGAAAGCCCTGAGGAGCTGAAGAGCCTGGCTCCTGACCTGGAGCTGCACCTTGGTGACAACAGTGAGCTGAGAGCACTCAGCCAGCAGTGCCAGCAGCTGGAGGCTCAGCGGGGCCGCATCTGCTCCAGGAGAGCCCGCCTCAGGAGCAGAAAGGTACCGTGTGAGCTGCCACCTCCTGTCTAGGCTTTCATTTTTAATACAAGGTTAAGAGGTCTGCCCACATGGTGATTAATGCTCTCTGTGTTTATGATCTCAGTGGCTAGAGCTAAATGTATTTAAAATGCTAAAAAGTTACGTTTCTTTCAAGATTAAAATGTTTGCCTTAATGTCTAGATTTTAATTAGTTCAGTAATTGTTTATAGAATGCGTACTATATACATAGTATTTTTATCATCAAAATAAGAATTGGGACCATGAGATGCTCATCACATAAAGTGCACGTGGCACAAGCCTGATAGCCTCATTTTAGTCTCCAAAACCCACGACGGGAAGAAGCCTTCCTTAGACCACACATGCTTAACAGAGAAGTGTGCCACAGACTCTTAACAGAGAAGTGTGCCACAGACTCTTAACAGAGCAGTGTGCCCACCCATACTTAGTAGATCAAAGTGAACAAAAAGGGAGCTGGGCACGCGCTGGTGTTCAGGAACCCCAGCTACTTGAGAGGCTGGGGCAGGGTCAAGGCAGCCGGGCCGGTTAGCGAGTCGCCACTTCCAGTTTAAGAAACGGCTGTAGCTGTAGTTTAGCAGCAGCAACTTGACTGGCACGTAGAGGAATCTCCGTTCAATCCCCAGTGTCACAAATAAAAACTATGGAGAAACTAGTACAGCATAACATTTTATTCTAAATTATGGATTAAAATAAAGCTACTCACAGATACAGTGTCTTCATACTGAACATTTAGTGAAACAAAAAAAGAAAACAGATTTTTTTTTTGTTGGAAAAAACTTTTTCATACTATATATATTGGTCGTTTTTTCCCCCTCCTCAAGGTCCTCCTAGATTCTCCCCACCTCCCTACCCACCCAACTTTGTTCTTTCTGTTTCTTAAAAAACAAACAAAAGACTAAGAATGCAAAAATACGCAAAAACAAAGCAGAATGAAACTAATTTGCTCTATTTTTTTAAAAAAAATATTTTTTTTCATGTGCATTTTTTTGCCTGTGTGTATCTGTATGAGGATGTCAGGGCCCCTTGAACTGGGTTATAGACAGTTGTGATCTGCCATGTGGGTGCTGGGAATTAAACCCAGGTCCTTTGGAAGAGCAGCCAGAGATCTTGGCTCTGCCTCCTGAGTGCACTGGCACTACTTTTAACCAGTGAGCCTCCTCTTTGGCCTCTCATTTGCTTTCTTAATTCTAAACCAGTATAATTACGTAAAAACACTGACACATATAATTTCTCCAACAGAAGAGAAAGTTCCTGCATTTTAAAGTAATTACTCATATTTATTGTCCTTTTCATATTGGAATTTTAAAATATTTTCTGCATTTGGGATTGTTTATCCGGCAAGTGCTCTGCCCCTGAACTATCCAGCCCCGCCCTAGCCTGTTGACCTCAGCCTCCAGAGTGGCTTGGGTTATAGGCAAATGCCCAGTTTCTACTTCCTTTCAGCCTCTGAGGATGCTACTCTTCCACACAAAAGTCATTTTCTGCAGTAGTGTTTTTGCAAGTCTGTGCTCAGGACTTGCCATAGTCTTGGGTGTAGAGCTGTTCTTCATAGCCTCTTGCCCTTTGCGCTACACTGCAGAAAGCCTGAGCTGGGGCAGTGTGGTTCAGCCCCCCTGGTTCTGTGTCACTGTGGTAGGATAGATGGAAGCCTTATCTCTGTCAGGAGGACAAGACAATGTGTTCTCTCAATGGTTCTAAGCCTTCGAACACGGCAACCGTTTAATACTGTTCCTCGGGTTGTGGCGACCCCCAGCCATAAATTATATTTGAGGCTACATCACACCTGTAATTTTGCTACTGTTATGAGTCAAAATGTAAATGTCTGTGTTCCAGTGGTCTTGGGCAACCCCTATGAAAGTGTTATTTGACCACCACCACTCCCGCTGCCGCCACCACAAAGGGGTCATGACCCACAGGTTGAGAGCCACTGTCTCAGACTGAGTGAGACATCCCGCAAATGGTGTTTCTTCCGCTGTTCAGCCTAGAAGCTCTTCACTGGGTACAGGATGGAACTGAGGACAGGTTTCAGATATTTACTGTGTGCAAATAGATGCAGATGCCAGATAAGGACATCAGATCCCCAGAGCTGAAGTCACAGACCATCGTAAGCTGCCCCAGTGGGTGCTGGCAACTGAACTCTGTTCCTCTGCAAGAGCACTCTTAACTTACTAAGCCATCTTCAGCTCCTGCAATTTCTCTTAAGCTCAGTTTTTTTTTTATCTGTTAGGAAGATAATCTAATTATACAAATCTCATGATTAACATGACGGTAAAATAGCATCTTCAAGTTGAAAATATAGTCAGTGAATGAATGTTAGTATTCTCAATGCGACCCCCCGTATGTGAAGCACTATAGTGAGTGGTTAGCACAGGAGAAGTACAGTCTTTAACATCGTCTTCTCAAGTGTCTCTAGGTGGGTTATGGTTTTGCAGATGTGTTTGGGAATATAATTACTATTTATAATATGAAGCCACGGGTTTGAGCAATCACAGTGGAATGGCGTGTGGAGCCCTGAGACAGCTGCAGGGTGAAGGTGTTCTCTGTGGTCCTGAGTTCCAGCCCCAGGGCCCATGTGATGATATAAGGAGACAAGTGACTCCAGCAGGTTGTCCTCTGACCTCTACCCGCGTGCTGTGGCACCTGTGCGTGATCCCCACCAGCATAACTAAGTGTAATAAAACAGAGGGTCGAGAAGCTTCATCTCAATGCACTCCGTTGGGAACAAATGGCACCCATGGGCAGCCCTTGTCAACAGACTGTGCAGGACCTCTCATTGGCCCTCACTGAAACTGACCACTCTGCATGTTAGCCAAAGTGCAGTGCTTTCAACTCTACTGCAGCCCATATCTTACCAACAACCATGTGTGTGACTGAAATTCTCCCACCAGGATCAATGCCAAGAAAATCATCAGCTCAGACTGCAACAGGCCAAACAAAGTGTGAGACATTTTCACCAGCACCACAATATTCAGATGGTGAGTACCTGAGAACAATTCATAGCTATAGTGTGACAGTGGGCTAGCCTCTGGATGATGGGCTAGCCTGTGGAAACTACACAGCTGGGACAGATGAGGGTGGGTCTCCTTTCCTTGTGAATACATACATAAGTGGAATTATGGGTATTTTACAAGGATGTGTTCGTTTACATATAGAAAAGAGACAAAGTAAAAGAAGAGGAACAAAAGAAAAAAGAATGGATAAACCACGAACGCCAGAAAACACTTGAGCGGCTAAGAGCATACAGAGAGGTAAGTTTAGAGATAATCACCCTGCACGTCCATCTGAGGCTCGCCCACCCTGGAAAAGAGTGCAAGAGATTGTGAACACGGAGCACAGAATTGTAAACATGCTCTTGTTGATAAAGAGCCTCAGTAGGGAGCGTCATGCTTTGAAAGCCGCAGTATGAGCCATGCTGCCTTCTCTGTTGTGCTTGAGGCAGGCTCTTGAGATGCAGCCTGGGAGTGACCACTCTGTTGCTGGGAAGAGAGCCTTATAAAAGAAAGCATCAGTGGGCGCTCGCTTGCCGTTTTGTGGGTAGTTCGTTATTATTGTGTTGGGGCATGGCGGCAGGCGGGGATAGCACTGAGCAGGAGCTGGGTGCTTACACTTGATCTACAAGCAGCAGGCAAACAGATAGAGATTGGGCCTGACTTGGACTTTTTGAAACTTCCAAGCCCACCCCCAGTGACATACTTCCACATACACCTAATCCTTCCTAAACCCCTTAACTGGGGACAGAGCACCCAGATGTGTGAGCATATGGGGGCCACGCTGATTCAAAATGGGTGACCCAGAGCTCAGTCCTCCTGGGTCAGCCCCAGCTGCTGTGTGAGTGTGTGCCACCATGCCCGGTCACAGCTGCTGT